AGTGGGGCACAGGGCGCAAAAGACGTGCACAATTTGCAGCTTCTATGGTGGAGTCAAGCAAATTGATGAGAGCTTTCCTTGCTGGAAGTGATGACTCCAGTAAGCCAGCATCTGTTCCTTTTGATGGCAGTAAAGAGGTCAAAGTGCAAGATTGTGAACATGCTATTTCATTTGAAAAAGAAAACAATGAATAAACTGTTCTCTGTCCTGTTCAAAGCTACAATAATAATAAACAAGAGGATTCCATTTTGTCAGAAACAAATCCACAGAATAGTGTTGCTAAGCTAAAAGAGGATGACAAATTTAACACACAGGGATATTGGACTTATGAAGTTTAATACAACAGGCTCAGCATTTGTAACACATGCACATCGCACAGAGATTGTTAAAGTTGGAGCACATGAATTTCAACATAAAGAAGGTCCATTTGATGCCAAAGAAGGGCCTTCTATGACTGCATTTTGGTTCAAACAACACCTTCTGAATGGACAAGAGGTCAATCGTTCCTGGTTGGTGTATTCACCTCTACATAAAGCAGCATACTGCTTTTGTTGTCTTCTTTTTCATCTACATGTATGACATTCGATAGTCGGTCTGCTTTCAAATAACAGGGTGGATTCTCTCAGTGGAAAAAAATTGAAAAGTTAAATGCCCATGAAAATAGTGACAGTCATCATGAGTCATTTGCTGCTTGGAAAGAAACTGAGTGCTGAATTCGTCTTCAAAGTGGCATTGATGAAGAGCTGCAAAGGCAAATTCAGCAAGAAAAAAATAAATGGAGAGATGTACTGCGACGATTGCTGGATTGTACACAATATTCAGCTTCTCAGAATCTTGCATTTTGTAGTCATAATGAGGACATAACCTCAAACGAAAACCCTGGAAATTTCTGTCACTTTTGCAGTTATTAGCAAAGTATGATCCAGTAACGAGAGAGAGAGCATTTAGAGCGTGTTAAAAACAAGCAAACATCAACATCTTATCTTTCTCCTGAAATCCAAAATAAGTTTATAAATCTCATGGCTTCACATGTGCAAAATTATTGTTTGTCAGCAATTCGTAGAAACAAATACTATGGTATTCTGTTTAATTCCACACCTGATATAGCCCATCGTGAGCAATTGGCCTAAGTGATTCAGTTTGTTGACATTGACTTTAAGACAAGAAAAGTATGATTTTTCCTTTATCTGTATAAAGTCAATAAATGACTCTTTGACATTGAATGAGCAAAGAAATTATAAATGGTTTCAATTATACCAAAAAAGGTAATAACTGTTGTTTCCTGACTTGCAGCATGAAGACATGCTAAGTTTAAAACTATGGTTGTCACAGTTTATAAACACTGCTTTTGGATTTTGTTCAGAATTCTTTGTTGGATGCCTGACAGATGACCTGACATGACAGCAGCATTATCATAAAATTGTGAATAACAATCACTCAATAAAATTCCACCCGCTTCTAATTTTGTGCTTATTGTTTTCTCAATATTGGCAGCATCAACTCGATGGGACGAACTGCAGCAGGAGCTTAAGATCTCTGTCAAGCGTGAATCAGAAACACTGTGAAGTGCAAGAGAAAAGGCAGTAAAAGTTGCACATGAAAAACTGGATGAATTGCTAGGACTGTTAGAGCTATTAAGTGAGAATGGCATCATGGCGGAAACAAGATGTGGTGCTCATAATATTCTGTACTGCATGCTTACATTTGATTTTCTTGTACTTTTTCATTTTTGGAGAAATCTTTTATCATCTATCATTCAAGTGCAGAAACATCTTCAGGACCCAAAAATTAATTTTAGAGAAGCAGCTGCTGATCTTGATTCTTTGAAAGAGATATTGATAGAATCACGTGAAAAGTCCCACCAAGAAGCACTTAAAGTGGGCAAGAATCAATGTGAAACATGTGGATTGACCATTGAAAGAAGAAAAATACGTCATAAATGCAGCTGATGTTGGATTGACTGCTGAACAGGAAATTTATCGTATCATGAAGGATGTTATTGATTGCTTGATTACAGAAATAACAGGAAGATTTTATTGCTTACTAGATTTAGATTCATGGCTTGGATTTGTACTAGATGTGCAAAATAGAGGTGGTTAATGAAAGTGTTCCAAAATGCGACATTAATTTCTTGATGACCTAATACATCGTGTGTTGAATCTCTTACAACAAGGTGTAGTCATGAAAAGTTGTTCAACCTTTTTACATAGCCTTGTTGAATTTCTTACAACAGGATGGAATCACAGAAAGTTCAACATTTCTACATTGCCGTGTTGAATCTCTTACAACAGGATGGAATCACGGAAAGTTCAACATTTCTACATTGCCGTGTTGAATCTCTTACAACAGGACGGAATCACAGAAAGTTCAACCTTTCTACATTGTTGTGTTGAAATAGAGGAATCTGAATTAAATTAGGGCAAGTGTTTGGTAGTCTGGTTTCAAAGTTCCTTTTCTTTCGATTGTTAAAAAAAAGCAACTTGAAGTTAAGAAACTCTGGACAAGTATGATATTTAATATCTTTTATTGGAAAAAAATCAACTGTATACAAGTTTATTAGTACTTAATAAAATATATCATTTCTTCATCAATACAAAAGCCTCAACATAAAATATCGGATATTCAAACATAATTTGTTCAGACTATATGGTAGAAGTTAACATAAAGGAACTTTAATAGATATGTTGTTTGAAAGTTTTATATCCAGTTAATCGTTCTATATCAGATAATATAAAGAAAGAAGCTAATATTATGTAGATCTCACTAATCAGAGTTTTGTTAATAATATGTATTTATACAGCTTTATCTAGGATTTTATATTTCATTGGAATGCACTAAAAAGACTTTACCTCTGATTGATCTACAAAATTCCAATTACATATTCCACACAACATGTTTGTGGTTTGAAGAATGAATTGCTTATGTTGAAACTTCAAACAAATTATATACAGCCAACAGAGTAACATACTCATATAAAAGTCTCTGTTACCAAAGGCTCAGCACAAAATCCATTATCAATGAAACATGGAATATGCCAGTTCTGATGCATTTATATACATAACAAAATAATTATTACCCATGCTTTACTCCTTTAGTGTTCTGGGCATCTTAGAAATCTTCTATAGGTGTCAAACTACCTCAAATCTAACCTTATATTGACATTATTGTATGCGTTAAAGAGAGACAAAACCTAAGAAACAGTGATTGAAAATCCTTAAAAAGAATTAACAACACAACCTAATGTTACTGAGAAAAATCACAACACAATAATTGAAAATCATACTTTACTCGGAAACATGACTGCATTTAAGACAAAGCACGGGTAAAGAAAAAATGGACTGATATCATAAAAGTAGATTACTGCAGACAAATTCCATTATTTGGACTTATACCAGTATAAAACAATATCAATAAGAAAATTTGAGAAGAAACTATACTGAAATCTTCCCTATAAAAAAGAACAACATTCGGTTAGGTGTAAAAAACAAATGCATTCTTGATTCAAACTTACAGTTTATAGGTCTGCAAATAAGAATAGTTTGAAACATCATTGTAAACTCATACTTTTATTTCTAGAAACAAGTTTAAGATTCCTATAAAAACTATTAAACTGTCATTCAAACAACAAGAACAAAAAAAGAGAAGCAGGGTATTCTCATAACAGCTAATAAAATAAAAAAACAGAATATACTAAGGTATTTTGAAAGAAGGTCAAGGTGCATGATTTAATCCAAGCCTTAAGTGAGAGCAATTCTGTTCACATTTTCAGCAACTATTTTAAATATACCCGCCAACACTGTCTTCTGGAAGAGAAGTGCCTTTCACAACTGGCGAATTGCTCTCTGAAAAAGATGACAATTTCCGGCCTCTGAGCCTTGCCTGTTTCAGTGCAGGTCCTGTGAAAATAACAAACAGACTTGGAAAAACAAGTGACATTTACTGTAATAAATAGTTTCTTCACCTTCATAAGGACAGCACAGAAGAATTGATCTCATAATCTCAAGTAGATTTCAAAATCCTAATTATCATAGTTAGAAGGTAATTGTTTGTGTGTTTACATCTGGTTGAGCATTTTACTTAGAATATTTGATCACACTGAGCTATGATTGAGCACTTGTAAGTTTGCGTGTTTACATCTAGTTGAGAATTTTACTTAGAATATTTGATCACACTGAGCTATGATTGAGCACTTGTAAGTTTGCGTGTTTACATCTGATTGAGCATTTTACTTAAAATATTTGATCACACTGAGCTATGATTGAGCACTTGTAAGTTTGCGTGTTTACATCTGGTTGAGCATTTTTACTTAGAATATTTGATCACACTGAGCTATGATTGAGCACTTGTAAGTTTGCGTGTTTACATCTGGTTGAGCATTTTACTTAGAATATTTGATCACACTGAGCTATGATTGAGCGCTTGTAAGTTTGTGTGTTTATACCTGGATGGTTTACATAGAATATTTCATCATGATCATGCTGAACCAAGTTTATATACCTCACTAAATTTTTATCTTGGCTTTATAACAATAACTGAAACTACTACTACTCCTCAGAATGTTTCACACTATGTCTGTCGTATGAAAACAACATATATATATATATATATGGCTATTACTTGAAACCTGATACTATATAAATAACAAGTGTTCTGTAAAACCTACACATTGTTTTTTTACTTACTTACCTGCAATACTAAGCAGAACAGGTAGAAAAATCAATCCATGAGAAGCTCCAATAAGTACAATACCCAGATACATTCTAAAGTAGAATACTTCAAAAATTTGAGATTTTGCAAACCCAAGTACCACAATTCCTCCAAACTTAGTAAGTGTGATTCCTGACAAAACCTAACAAAAAAAATCAAAAATGGTCTTCAAAATATATTTTTTATGGATTATTATTTCAGGACTTTCACCTTAAAATACAAAACAAGAAATAAATTTAAAAGTAATGCTACAGAGAGAAGCTATTATAAACTTATCAAAATATTAAGTTTATAAGGTCAGGTTGAGGGAACTTAATAACAAGTTTCTGTGTATTAACAGCCTAGTTGTGAGATTATTGTGTTATATCAAAAACACAAGTTGAAACAGAGCTAAACTATCACAAAATATAAACAAAGATCACACACTAAAATTAATAATAAGTAACTTTTTGTGAACTAAAATCTTTACAGTAAAAGCATGGTATGTACTTATATGCCCCTCAACCAATTATTACCAACACAGAAAATAGTCAGCAGGACATATACCTATGAAGTTTGGTAGATGTACATGTTTTTATTTTAATATCATGTACTGTACTACTATTCATCATTAACATGACTTTTGTTGTTACTTATATGGCAATCTTTGCTCTGAACTGTTCCTTGAAGTTCTGTACTGTTTCTCTCTGGTTGTTTTTTTACACCTAAAACATATTATTTCTTTCATAAGAAAGCTTCTGTGAAAGCACAATATGTTTATATATTTACAATTATGGTATGTTTTTATTAGCATCACTTATGAAAATGTTTTAAAGTGCTGTATAAGTTTCTGTGTTTTTTATTTCAAACTTGGGTGATTCTAGTGTCATAACTACATCAAGATGTTGAAAGGCCAGTCAGAGTAGACAAGTTATGAAGATAACCAACTTCAGTAAAGGACTTCTGCTCTTTCTATTGGGCAGATGAAGTTTCTAGGCAGTTGAGTAATGTCCAGATATGGCTGAAAAAGAACTTAAAAATACTTCAAATGACATGTATGCAAAAGCAATATATGACATTAAAATAATTACATATATGTCTACCAAACTACAAAGAGTATTGTATGAATACGTCCAACACTGTGGTGTATATATATGTTCTGCTGACCGAATCAGAAATTTGTACAGCACAGAACTCTTCAATTTTACAAAATAAAGGCTTTTACAGGCTATTTGAAAAAAGAAATTGTTTTAAAGACTGGGCTATCTGAAAAATGGGATTTATAGGTTTCAAAAGAGCTTTAGGGGGCCTGAACTTAATTAAGACCATGTACAATCTTGACCTTTGTTACAGTAAACCGTATAAAAGATCTGTATTTAGATTCTGGAACAAGCATCCTAATCTCAACAGGATTAATACATTCAGTAGAGAAAAAGTTTATACTTACAGAACTACCCATTCTGGCCAAAGCATCTTGTGATCGTAAGACTCTGGTTTTTTTCAAACTTTTACCAAAAGCTTTAGTAATGTGAGAACAAAACTCCACAGAAATACCAACAGCCTGAAATACAAATAAAGTATATACATATATAAAAAGAAAGAGAAATATAGGGTTAAGATAAAAAGCTGCAGTTTGTGATATAATAAAGGCTAACAACTTAGGTTTGATCATGGCTACTATTAGTACAATTCAATATGGGCACTGTTTGTAGCTTCAAGGTGATAACTAATCTTGGCTCTCATATGTGCCGGTATCTCTGTACTAATCATTGCAACAGAGTTGGTTATTTGGGCAAACAGCATTGCCACAGTTAGTACCTTTATATTATCGACAATGTCCTATATCCTTCACATACCCCATCTTAATTAGTGGAAAAAATTTCAAACATCAGTCTCACACACATCACAAACTCTAACTGTTTATCTTATTCTACTGAAATAAGAAAATAGTTCAATAATTCATAGACAAAACAACAAGGAAATACAGGCAGCATGAAACACAAGGTAGATACAAAACAACATGGAAATACAGGCAGCATTAAATACAAGGTAGATACACAAACAACATG